TTTGATTATTGTGCAAAAATATGTTCTTATAAACAAAATTTTTGAGAAATAAATATTTAAAATTAGACTTTTGATCTGAGCGCTTATTTTTTATTCAAATTTTTATTTGCATAAATTTTATCTATTCAAATTAAAATATTTTTTTTATCTATTTAATTTTTTTAACCTATCTATCTTCTATCTGTTTAATTTTTTGAAAATTTCATATATGCTTGGAGTTAGGGATAAACGTCAAGTTCACGGGCTTCATGTGAGAGTGATTCTTAGCATTTTGATGCTTCCTAAAAAACAAACTTTAACTCATCATTTATCTCCAAGTTTATGGAATCAAGAAAAATAAAAATAATAATATAAAATCTCATATATATATATATATATATGATATATATGTTGTTGTGCATGCGAAGAGAGGAAGTGAAGGAAGATATACTTAGTAGAGCTCGATCTGACTAAGGAGAAAAAGCCAGAGTTGGAACTAGCATCTTGGAGGTGGTTGGAGCGAGTCAAGGAAGGAAGTGGGAAATGAGGACACCGTACCAGAAGAGGGTCATGTACCAATGTACGTCGGTTATGCGAACTTTACCTAAAGAGCTCTAGTAGTGAACTCCACCACTCCGATCTCCACTGCTGCTATGGGGATCTAAAAAGGAAGGGGGGGAGAGAGAGAGAGGAGAGAGTGTGGACCAACCATGGTGGAGGAAGGGGCGACGAGTGAGGTGAATGCGAGAGTAAGAGGTAAATGACGACGATCGATGAAAAGTCGAAAATGAAGTGTAGAGAGAGAGGGAGAGAGATATATGGTTTGTGAGTACAAGGTTTGGTTTGTGTATATATATATATATATGTGTGTGTGTGTGAGAGGGGGTATTTTGGTCATTTTATCTAAATTTATCCTTATAGACAAAGTATTTAAATGCCTATTTATGGACCAAATATCTTTTTTTTAAAAAAAATTCTTTCTTTCTTATTTTATATATATATATATATATAAGAAAATTTTGATTAAAAAATTTATTTCAAGAGTTTTTTTTTGTAAGGAATCTCATTAAGAGTTTAAAATTATTGTGAAAGTCTCTATTTATTAATAAGAAAAAAAATCTTTCAAAAAATTTAAAGAAATCCATGTGGGATTCAATCAAATTTAATGAACAAAAATTTGAAATTTTGATATCCTTTCAAATTTTTTGCTTTTCTTTCAATCAAATTATTTGAATTAAAATCATATGGAGAGAATATTGAATATTTGGTTTTCTCTTCCAAAATTAAAATTAATAATATTTTAAAATATATATTATATTAGGAGAAATATTGAAGATAATTTAATATTTTTAGTTTTTTAATTTATAATTTTATTACTTATATTTTTATTTAAATATAAATTTAATATATTTATGACATCGTGGTTCGATTCCGGTTCAATTCAACGAGAATTCGTCCACTCAATCTCTTTTTTAATTTGTTCACCAGTTCGATTTTTTTAAAAATGACTAGTTATGGGTTTTGAAGGGATCGGCCCAACCAAACAAAACCTTCAATACGGAGCAGCCCAAATATTTTGATCAAACCCCAAACCCATCTTATCCTCAATAGGACACGTGTCAGACGAATACAGTCACCTTTGACAAATTTACGAAACTATACGATTTTACGTGAAATCAAAAAGAATTTTGGCACGGAAAATCTTGGCGACGTAGTCTTCTTCTAGCAATATCTTTTTTTAATGGGTAAATTACAACTACTCCCCTAAATTTGTCAAAATTATGTATTCTTATAAATACATTATCCCCTCCTTCAATTGATGTAATAGAAAAAACAAAATTACTTAAATACCCTCCAATATTAAAATAAAATTATTATTTTACTTACATTTTTATTAATTATTCATGACATTTTTCAGTCAACATGATTACAATATTTACTAACCTTTCTCAATGATATATCAAATGCTTGTAAACAATAATGACGGTAGTACTAATCGAGACTGGAAGAAAGTAATGCAATGGTTGAACAAAATTGTATTATTAGTTGAAAGAAAATGAAAAATAAAAAATAAAAAATGTGAGATAGGTAAAAAAAATATTTAACTTCATAAATTATAATATAGGTATTGCTGGAGAAAAAAAATTATTCTTTACATCATATACTTGTTAATTTGACTTGAGAATTGATTAATGCAGATATGATTATCTAAAATACTGTGTGTGTCAATTTCCGACCACACTGCCAACTAAGTACTCAGCTGGAGAACGCTGGCAGAAAAGATTAAACCCGAACGACCTGTCACAAAAAGAAGAGATTTCGGCGGTAGTTTGTCCACCCGGGAGCACTCCGACGATCAAGTCAGTTATCTCTCAAAGATAGCAAAAATGCTTAACTCACTATTCAGAGCATAAAAAGCATACCTTAGATCCATGAAGGTGCCTCTCTTTTATAACCAACACTTACCTAATCTCAATAGAAGGCTAGCTTCAATGGACTTAGGATTACTGAAATTCTCTCTCATTCTAGGACTCTTGTCCCTTATCCGCTTATCCCAGATTCTGGTATCTTTGCACATAACCTCAATCTAGCCGAGATGATCTTGACGTCATAACCAGGACATGTGACACCTCGGTTGGCACTTCGGTGACACCTCGGCCACGTGTTGTCATTCAAAAATTATGTCCCCACAACTGCCCCATAGGTTTTATTATCTCAGTATCCTGAGGTGATGAAACCTATATCATTCCTTCCTTTAATCATGACCCCGGTTTAATTTCAACTTGTAAATTTTTCTTAAAATTTCAACAAGTGTTAAACATGACCTCGGTTTAACTTCAACTTGTAAATTTTTAAAATTTCAACAAGTGTTAAATATGACCTCAGTTTAACTTCAACTTATAAATTTTTAAAATTTCAACAAGTATTAAACCAACCTTAGCTTATAAATTCCAACTCTCAAGCATCATTCTCCAACCCTCTTTGGTGCACTACTTCCAGTGTCATTGTGAATCCTTTTGGACCTTCCTCCATTGGTCGTGTCAAAATAGAGTTCCTTCCTTTAAACATCCCGATATTCTTTGGTGCAGGTTTCTTTTGTTCGACGTGTCTTCTGGGATTCTCCATGCCTGACCTCCCGCGAAGGCCGGTGAGAATGTCCCTTGGTCCCGCCATGCTGAGGGACTACAGGAACTGTTTTCTTCCCCCATTTCTGGGCACCTTTCTTGGCTGCTGGAATCGGCGTATCTTGTAGCGGGAACTGTGGCTGCATGACGTTGTTCTGCATCATGAAATTGACGACCTTTTGCAAGTCCGCCAATTTGTCCACTACTCCCTTCATCTCGTCGTCCCTCCGCAAGCATCTATCTTTCCATACTTGGAGGTCGTCCTTATTATAATACCCGTTTCGGTCCGATTTCTTCAGTACGCCGCCCTCCTGGCCGACGTCATTTCCTCCGTGATTCTTATCACGAGTCTCTTCGTTGCAGTTGTCTTCTTCGACGTCAAGGTCAATATGTTTCCCACTCTCAGTAGAGGTATCGTCCCTAACCTTCTCTTTTTGTCCGTTGTTGGCCATCTATTTTCATTTCTTTTCCACAGACGGCACCAAATTGTATGTGTCAATTTCCGACCACACTGCCAATTAAGTACTCAGCTGGAGAATATTGACAGAATAGATTAAGCTCGAATGACCTGTCACAAAAAGAAGAGATTCCGGCGGTAGTTCGTCCACCCGGAGGCACTCCGACGATCAAGTCAGTTATCTCTCAAAGAGAACAAAAGTGCTTAACTCACTATTCAGAGCATAAAAAGCATACCTTAGACCCATGTGGTTGCTTCTCTTTTATAGCCAACACTTACCTAATCCCAATAGAAGCCTAGCTTCAATGGACTTAGGATTACTGCTAATCTTGGACTCCCAGTAGGATTGTGATAAACTCTCTAAGAGTCTTATCTTTACCCAAACTGAAGTTCTCTCTCATTCTAGGACTCTTGTCCCTTATCCGCTTATCTCGGATTCTGGTATTTTCGCAGATAACCTCGGCCTAGCTGAGATGATATTGGCGTCATAACCAGGACACGTGGCACCTCGGCTGCCACTTCGGTGACACCTTGGCCACGTGTTGTCATTCAAAAATTATGTCCCCACAAATACTATAAAATCAGCTAAAATTGTTCAATTTGCATCTATTTGTTTGCTAACCGCAGGTTTGTTTGATTCGAAATTTGAAATTTATAATCTGTCTTCGAAACCGTCTCGCTCCACTATAATTAATACATATAAATCTTTTTATTTCTAATGAAATATCAAAGTAAAAATCAGTGTGAGAAATTTGAGTTGTGAAATTTGTTACAAATTAGTGTTATATATATGAAAAATATTATGGAAATTAATATTATATATTATGCAAATACTTGATACTTAATTAAGATTATTGTTTAATCAATTAATAAATTGAATTAGCTTAAATCGTTCAAGTTACGATTTGATTATTTGTCAATCCTCTATTTATGATTTGATTTATAATTTTATTCTTAAATCGCACCAAACCGCATTGCGCACACTTCTAAATGTAAGGGGTGATTTGTTATGTGATTGAAAACTTTAAAAAGGTAAGATGTAGGCCTTATTTGGTTTGTGTTTCTCAAAAAATTATCTACAAATAAGTTTTCAAAAGTAATCAAACCAAAAAAAATTTTCCAATTTTTTTTTCCAAAACTTGTTTGGTTTACAAATTTTCCAAACAAATCTCTCTCTCATACACATCAAATCAATCACTTTTTCTAAAACTCTCTCTTAAAATAATTTTTCAAAACATCTTTTGAAAAAAAATCAAACCAAATAAATTTTCGTATTTTTTATCTCAAAACATGTTTCTCAAATACAAACCAAACAAGGCCGTAATTCTCTAAACATGAAGGGATAATTTATATTTTTGATAAACGTCCGGGTGCATTTTAAATTTACCCATTTTTATTTTGGCTTTATCTTGGCAATATCATTAATTAATAAACTGGAATTTATAACAAAATCAGCAGAGTCAAGCTGAAGTGATTCCTCTGAGGACGAAGAAGGAGATAATGGTGGTGTTTGGTGGCGGGAATGGTGTGGGTCAGATGATGGGACTTGGCGGAAAGGGCGGTGTGGGTCAGATTCTGGCGGCCGTGGCGGCGGCTCTCTTGCTCCGCCTGTTCTCCGCCCCCGGTCCTGCTCTCTTGCCGGCGAACGAGGCGGACGACGACGACAGAGAATTCGATGGAGGCAGCGGCGATGCTCCGGTCTCCGAGAAAGTATCTCCGGTGACTATCCGGTGGAGCAACATCACCTGTTCCTTCTCCAATAAATCCTCCAAAGCTGTGAGTGTTTCACTCTCGTACAATACAAGCTCTACATTTTGCATTAAGCAGCTAGGGTTTTGTAAAAAGAGTGTTTGGTTGCTGAGAAAATGTATGAAAAAGGTAATGAATATATTGAATTTTAGAGGTGCACGAGTACGCGACTGATATGTATGTATGTATGTATGTATGTATGTATCCTTACCCGAGCCTAATTGAACTGTTTGGATGACATGATTTTAGTTTTTCTCACACACAGACGTTGGAAACCAAGAAAATGCATGTTTGGTAAGTAAGATTCTGAATTTTCTTTGTCCTTATTTTTCCTTTCTTTTTTTATCCGTTTTCTCAGCAACCAAACAGAGTATAATTGGAATTTCTATGATGCATTTTCTTTCAATTTCAATAGCTCTATGCACGCAATTCCTAGAAAATTCCATAGTCGCGCTTGTGAATTTGTTTGGTATAATCTGTTAATCTTGCAGCAATAATAATCTGAGTTCACGGAGTTGAACAAGATTTCAATGTTGGTTGGTTGTGTAGGTGCGGTTTTTGCTGAAAAATGTAACTGGTGAGGCGAAACCAGGAAGATTGCTTGCAATAATGGGGCCATCAGGATCAGGGAAGACAACTCTACTCAATGTGTTGGCAGGCCAAATAGTTGCTTCACCCCGGTTACATTTATCGGGCCTTTTGGAGATCAATGGACGACCAATTTCAAACAGAAGTTATAAGTATGTTTGGCTTAGATAGGACTCTCAAAACATTACTTGGAATATTTTTTTTAAGCATGGTTTATGTGCCTACTTCTAACCATTGTCATTGCAGATTTGCTTATGTGAGACAAGAAGACCTTTTTTTCTCACAGTTGACTGTTCGAGAGACATTGTCTCTTGCTGCGGAACTCCAACTTCAGGAGATATCTTCCGTGGAAGAGAGAGATGAATATGTGAACAAACTCTTGTTCAAACTAGGCTTGGTAATGCTGGCTTGACTTTCTTCTTGCTGGTGTGTATAGCTTGTTTCATTCTTTTTTAAATCAACACGTGCGTAACAAAATTTTTTTTTATGGAGAAGTAATATCTCATGTAATGCTGACCTTGGCAGATGTTTGTTTCGGTTTCCCCCCAATTAGTATAATTCTCACTTCAATGCTGAATCTTTTATAGCTTCATGCATAAAATGATATTTTAAACCAATAATTGGGTTTATGCACTTGCATTAGCATTTCAGATTATTACAGAAATAATGTGATTATTAGTTACTTTTCACTGCATCTGTTATTAGTGTATTTTTTGTCCTACCCTTTTAAATTTAAGACTTTTGAACTTTTACGATTTCTTTTATCTTATGGTGGTGGCTCATGGCTGCTATGTGCTTTTTCTTCAAAAGGTCAGTTGTGCTGATTCCCGTGTTGGGGATGCAAAAGTCCGTGGAATCAGTGGCGGTGAAAAGAAGCGTTTGTCTTTGGCATGTGAACTTATAGCTAGCCCATCTGTCATATTTGCTGATGAACCTACAACTGGTAGGCGTGCTTTCTTTTTACATAATTTGCCTTTAGGACTGATTCTGTTTACTGAGATATGAGATATTATCTTTCAATTGGTCTACGACATACAGATGATGATTTGGTATGTTGGAATGCTATGTTGTGTCCAAGTAGCAGATCTTTCTAAAGCTAAATCTTAGCATATTAGGATATGCATCCAAAAGTTGGGTATGGTTACGGGGATACATTTTAAGATAAGATATTTTATAATACACATTATATAATATTTTTAGATTAGATGTTGAAAATTATTCGAAATATACTCCAATTCAAATTAAATGGGATTTAGGAAAAATGTGGAATATATATTTCTCATTCATGTGAGAAGGTATAAATGTTTATTTACTTACAAATGTGAGCATCTTTTTCTTCAAGAATCATATAAAATTAGAGGATCCAAATGCCTAAATTTGTTACTTAGGACATGGATTGTTTTTTTACGTGGAACGGGAACGGGAATGCGGTATGCCTCATGCTTTAAATTGTGTTATGATGGGGGTAGACTTGTATAGATGTCTAATAAGTGACTATTCAAGTACCCTCAATTTCTCTCATCTATTACAAAATCACTTCTGCTCTTAGGTCTTGATGCCTTCCAGGCAGAGAAGGTGATGGAAACACTCCAACAACTTGCACAGGATGGACATACTGTAATCTGTTCCATACACCAGCCCCGAGGCTCAGTGTATGTGAAATTTGACGACATTGTGTTGCTGACAGAAGGTGCACTTGTTTATGCCGGTCCTGCACGTGATGAACCATTGGCATACTTCTCAAAATTTGGGTTGGTATCTAAAACTCATTTATCTTATATTTCTTTCATTTGTGTTATCTTAGTCTCATTAGTTATATTAAAATTCTCAAAAATCATTTTCATTTTTTCTTTTGGAATCTGTAATCTTGGGTAAAGATTTATTAAAGAGGCCACTCCTTAAAAGTAAAATTTCAAAAGGAAATAAAAGAGAGTTAAGAAGAAACATTCAGTGTGCACAAAATGCCTTGCCAGCTGATCAAACTCAGCTCAAGCTGGCAGCAGGACAAAATTCATCATTTGGCCATACTTTCATTGTTTGTATAACTTTGAGGTTTCTTGAAGGGTTTGCTTAGCAGTTGAGTCCTTGTCCAGTTTGTGTAGCATAGAGCTAGATTTTAAATTAAAAATTATTTTTATTGCTTAAATTTTCTAAGTTATTTCTTTATCTATACTATTATTGAATTAGAGAGCTTTCAAAAACTGTTTGATCATATCTTTTAATATCAACTATGAATAATGTATCTACATACAGAATCTTGCATGCAAATTATATGTAAACAAATCTTATATCTGACTTTATTCTTGGTTACTGTCTGGAGAACTTGTTGCTCTCTGAACGTACATTATCAAAGGCCCATCATTCATGCTTTTCTTAAAACGAGGCACATTCTCTTTTTCTTGTTTTTCTGCAGAATCTTATTAAAAAATTCAATATAGATGACAAAGCAAACCAACAAAACCTTTATTCCAACATCTGGGGTTTTCCGAATGTATCATCTCTAGCATTCTATCAAAGGCATTTGAGGGTATACATTCAAAAAGATGTAAATAATGTTTCAATGATGTCTGTAGATTCTTTAGCTTTAGAATTTTTCAATTAAAATGATTTTCTTTTCTTTCTCCCGGTTATTAGCTTATAGTCTACGAAATACGGACACTTTTAAGGTGTTGTTTTTGTGTCATGTCCTTGTTGGACACGTATTGGACATTGACACTCATACGATACTTCTGACATGTGTTGTACACACATCCAAATGTGTCCTATTATTTTTTAAAAAATTTAAACCTTGACACACTTTGGATGCTTAGAGAATGCACATGTCCATTTGTTAGAGCCTTAGAAACACATGAAACACATCACAGGTTTAAACAAAAATAACGTAGGATTCAATGATAATGGAGAACAATGTTATTTATGCCTATTAATACCTTGTTTGTGGAAGATCATTTCATCCTGGGAGATAGACGTCCGAATTCTGAAAGCACCGTCGAGAGGACGAATCTGTCTTAAGGACACAGTGTTAAACACTGGACTTGATCAGAAAAAATAATTCGAAGAAATTAAATCAAAATTAAATCCTTTTAAATACAGTGAAGATTGTCCAACAGAATGCACATGTCCATTTGTTAGAGCCTTAGAAACACATGAAACACATCACAGGTTTAAACAAAAATAACGTAGGATTCAATGATAATGGAGAACAATGTTATTTATGCCTATTAATACCTCATTTGAACTTTAGAAATTAGTGTTATGTTGTATTTTTAAATTAACTTTGAATGAATTATTCATATAGAACATCTAATTATTATATAAAACTATGTATTTTGTGCGTAACCCCCATGTGTCTTGCTCTAATTTTTTTTTTTTGAAAATTGCCATGTCAACGTGTTCGTGTTGTATCGTAGTTCTATGTCCTTGCTTCTTAGTTTGCAGTATATTAAACTAGAAATTCTGAATTGTCTTCCTTATGTTGCTGACGTGTGCCACGTGTTTTTCTCCAAATAAGATTTGAGGCTGTTCGATGTGCGTATCCAAGTGTGTTACCATTATACACATGATATCTGTTGCTTTGTAACTTCTAGTTCTGAAAGTAATGACTGATTGATGGTCAACAGGTATCGTTGCCCAGAGCATGTTAATCCTTGCTGAATTTTTGGCTGATCTAATATCCATTGACTATAGTTCTGCTGAAAGTGTCTACTCTTCCCAGAAAAGGATAGATGGTCTTGTTGAGTCATTCTTACAACAAACATCATCAATCCTATACGCAACTCCTCTTGTGAGAAGGGAGACTTCTAAGAACAGCATGAATTTGAGGAAGAAAACTATTGTCAAAAAGAAAGGTGGTTGGTGGAGGCAGTTCTGGCTGCTTCTCAAACGTGCATGGATGCAGGTAATTCTGTGAATGCGACTCAATTTATTTAACACCTTTAAATAAATAGCAAGCTCAAAAGATAGTGGGCCAAACTTTGCATTGCTACACTTTCCTGAATTCCTTTTTATGATTCACTTCCTTAACTACTCACCTCCCTGCTCCTCTCTGTTTCCTAAAGACTTCTAGCAACATTAGACTATTTTTCTTCCTGTTGTTTGTGATGAAATCCTTGCTTTCCAATAGTGCAAAATCATAACAATGCATGTGGTACAGTGGTACACTTGTAGAATGCGCTAAGTTATTACTGAAATGCTGCAGACAGTTCTGTACTTGAATTTTGTAATTTATGCTTATAAATTGTTTCATGGGTTCAGTTTCTTCTCCAATCTGATAGCCACCTATGAATGACTAGGCTTCTCGCGATGGGCCTACAAACAAAGTTCGGGCAAGGATGTCAATTGCATCAGCTATTATTTTTGGGTCTGTTTTCTGGAGGATGGGAAAATCTCAGTCTTCAATACAGGACAGAATGGGATTGCTTCAGGTATGTAATGTCGTTACTTCTGTGAAAGTACCAATAATAATGAAAGAAATGAGAATGATAAAATTGTCGACTTGGATATAGATGTCCACTGCAGTTTTTCTGCTATTATTCATGCTGCCAATTACTTGTTTAAAAATTTTAACAAAAAAATAAATCATGGGAAAATGCTTAGTTGAAATTGCTTGCTGAAAATTTGAATTTTTTGCTTTCTTTCCAAGATGAGGAAAAGATGTTTCCACAGGCCTTCATTCCAAAACTACGATTCTTAGAATATCGTATGAATTTGTTTTGGAAATAGGATCTTTGATCATTTATCTGGGTTTCACCTCTTTTTTCTCCCTTAGGTTGCTGCTATAAATACTGCAATGGCTTCCCTCACAAAGACAGGGGGTGTGTTTCCCAAGGAACGTGCAATTGTTGATAGAGAGCGTGCAAAAGGGTCTTATGCATTAGGTCCATATCTGCTTTCTAAGTTGCTTGCTGAGATCCCCGTTGGAGCAGCATTTCCGTTACTATTTGGAACCATTCTATACCCCATGGCTCGTCTTCATCCAACATTTTCCAGGTGAGTTCTCCTAATGATTTACTTTACTAGTTTTTGGTTTTCTGATCTTAATTATAACTGGGAAATGCTATTTTATGTTCCTCAATATTCAGTAGTTGGAGCCTACTTTATGCTTTCAGGACAGCACTACAACAGACAGGAATGATTGAAAGTTCTAATATATATATTTTTTCATAAAAACAAAATTGGTGATGCTTTTATCCGTTCAGTGGTTATAATTTGGTCTCATATATTTGTACAAAATTAGAAAAGAAAAAATGAAAGAAGATTGAGGTAGCGTTTGGTTGAATTTTAGAATTATGATTTGAGTGTGGAGTTGTATTTTGAGTTTTTTGAGTTTTTGAATTATGATTTGAAAAAAGAAAATTTGTTTGGTTATGAGTTTTGAAATAAGAAAAGTTGTTTGGTTATGAGTTTTGAAAAGAGTTTTCAAAACTTAATTGAAAAACTAATTACTCATAACCGAATACACAACTCAAAACTCTATTGAAAATTCTATTCAAAACTCATTATTAGGGCTACAGACGAGACGAGACGAGACGAGCCGAGCTTTGCTGAGCTCGAGCTCGACTTGTTTACTTATTGAGCTCGAGCTCAGCTCGATAAGGATCTGAGTTCGAGTTTGGCTCGGCTTGTTGATATTAATGAAACTCGAGCTCAGCTCGATAATTTTTTTTAATATTATTAATACTATTTTAAATAAAAATATTTAAATAAAAAATATTATTTATATTATTTAATGTATAAATAATATATTTATTATATAATTTAAATAAAAATAAACGAGCTGAGCTTATGCGAGTTCGAGCTCGGCTCGTTTACTAAACGAGCCTAATATTCGAGCTCGAGCTCGGCTTGTTTACTAAACGAGCTGAGCCGAGTTTGTTCATGAACAACTCGGTTCATTTGCAGCCCTACTCATAATGAAACTCTTTTTAAAATTTAATTCAAAAAAATAATTATAGAAAAAAATAATTTTTTTTAAAAAAAATTAAAAATATTTTGAAAATATTTTTTTATTTAAAATATTAAAAAAATATTCAGCTAGTGTTTTAAAATTACTTTTGATTGTATATTTGGTTCGAAATTTTTTTTTAGTTGTTTTGTTTGAAAACGATCTAAATTTTTTTTTTTTGTATATTTAAAAAAATCAAAAACAAATAAAAAAAATTTGTTTTCAAATAATAGGTTGTAATTGCAAAAAAAAACTGTTCTGGTCAACCAGCCGGACGTCCGGAGGATGTCCAGGCGGACTACCCAATTCGCAAATTCAAAATTCAAAAAAACATGCATTGGAATGTGATTTCAAATGTGGCATTGGAATTGATTTTTGAAAACCAAAACCAAACATATCATTCAAATATAAGAGTGGAAAATTGATTAGAAACTCACACCAAACACAGCCTGAATGTTGCTCATCCATTATATGTACATGAGCAGTGCATGTGCACATGTATATAATCATTTTATTTCATAAGAAAACTGTCTTTTTCTCATTGAAAGATTTGTCCTATATTAAATTACTGGTTGATATTTGATGACACTTGCTGCTTTGTCAACCAGAATATATATGCCTGGAACACAAAATTAGCATGGATCCACATCATATAAGCTGTTTTACATTTGCTTAAAAATGGGACACATAACTAACAAAAGAAATTGTAAAATAAGATATATAACATCTAATCAGTTAGTAATTTGTTAGCATTATGTCCATCCAATGAAGATTGGACTTATTTCGGCTACTTCCAGAAGAACATTAAGGTAAGGTTTGGAAATGTTTTTTTAACAAACCTTTCTAGGAAAAAGTAGTTAAAAAGCTTATGCTATTGGCAAATGCTAAAAAAATTGTTTTTTTGTTAGTTGGAGAGTAGTTGAGTGGGAAAATTGCTTTTGTCCTTTTTGTCAAGCCATGGCGAAACGGACAAAAACTTCAACTTATTTCACTTTGTTGGGCTGAAATAAGGCTCATTTTCTCTTTACATCTGCCTCCAATTTTAAGTGCCTCAGTAGTAGAAGCCTGCACAGTGTGCAGGAAATAAATTTAAGGTCAGAATTGTGCAGAAAGGCTTATAAAGAAAAGATGCTTCAAATTTGAAGTACCTTAGTTGTAGAAGGCCTGCCCAATGCTCAAGAAAGAAAAAGATTAGGGCTAGAATTTTTTTAGTGCAGCACTCTGTTGACAAGTTTATAAAGAATAATTGTAACTTGATAATTCTATTAATTTAATCTTAAGTCTCTCTCTCTCTCTCACCTTTTCTTATGAGTTTTTTTTGTCTCTCCCTCTCCTCAGTCTGTGTACTGTCTTTGTATCACCCACAGGCATTCAGCAAGTTTTCTACAGGGAAGCACTCCCATCACTTAATGTAATTGTGCAATAATCTCTCTATACTTTAATTCAATCTTATTGAGCATGCGACCATCTGTTACAGATTTTGCTTTGTAGCTGCAACCCTGGTAAGGGCTTGAATTGAGTTGATTGATTCTAAATTTTTTCTGAAAAATAAGCCATGACTTGCTATCTGGTTCTTAGTTGTCACTCTTCAGAACTAATTTCATTGTGAACTCTATTAGGTTTTCCTGGTAAACTTTAACTTGGATGGAAAATATGCAATTTTACTTTCAAGACATTAAGGGTATATGGCAGAAGAAACTTTTACAGGTTATAATCAGAAAACTTGAAGGTACTGATGCGGAATTTTCACTTTCTAGGTTTGGAAAGTTTTGCGGAATCATAACAGTGGAGTCCTTTGCTGCATCTGCAATGGGCCTAACTGTGGGGGCTATGGTTCCAACCACTGAAGCAGCAATGGCCTTAGGGCCATCTCTTATGACAGTTTTTATTGTGTTTGGAGGCTATTATGTCAGTGCAGAGAACACGCCGATTATCTTTCGCTGGATTCCACGTGTTTCTCTGATAAGATGGTAAGTACATTCTCACTCTTCTATGTATGAGAAATTTAGTTATGAATTCTGTGCAACTTGAATCGATGATGATCTTTGATAGTTCTTTTGTTCTTCCTCAACCATATAAATTATATTATTTTCTGGAACTTTCAGGGCATTTCAAGGGCTTTGCATTAATGAATTTAGTGGCCTTCAATTTGATCATCAGAACTCGTTTGATATACAATCTGGAGAACAGGTGAGTGAAGAACATGAATCCTGCTATTTTAATCTTTTATGTTATCCCAACAGATGAAACAAAAATATTGTCATCAAGGAGAAAGTTATGTCTGACAGACAAGTTGTTAAAATGAGGGTTGGGCTTTGAATATGTCTCGTAAATTTAATTCTCCAAACTCTGGGTTCTCTATTGATTATATGGTTAGATCATTTAAAGGGACTTCGTTATACTTCATGAAAAATCTTTTCTCGGACCAATGTAGGCTCTGAGGCAACCAAGGTTTTACTTCCACTGTGAATTTGAACTAAGATCTAAAGCCAACAACTTGAGTTTAATTCATCCGGTTGAAACATCTACTTTATTTGATCATTACTATGGGAAATTGCCATTGCATGCTGCTGAAAATTTTGATTGTCAACTAGTGGTACCAAAGTACTGGGATTGAGTTTGCACTGAAGATAGCATTTAGTTATAATCATCATTATTTCTAGGGATTGAAGGCCATTCGGATCGAGGCTTCCAAGTCAAAACCATGCACGTTGCATAATTTTTGAAAGACCTCAGTCAATTCCAAATTATATATATATATATATATATTTTGTCTATGCCTGCTGACACATTTTCAGCAAGGCAGAGAAGATTGTCTGATTATTTGGTTGTGTTTCAATAGGAATAAAATATGGGTAAACTACCAAAATGTCCTAATAGTTGGACTTAATTCCCATCAAGTACTATTGAAAATAAGTCCTAATAAAATCGATGCTAAAACTAATTTTTTTGTGACGATTTTTTACATATGTCGTTAAAAATTTACAATTAGCGACTTTTTTTTGTTATGATTTTTATAAATTGTCACTAAAGCTTACAATTAACTTTTTTTTGTGACAAATTTTTTAAACTGTCGCTGAAAGTTGTAAATTAGTGATTTTTTTTGTGATGATTTTTTAAACTGTTGCTAATATTTATAATTTGTGACATTTTTTGTGATAATTTTCAAACTGTCGTTGAAAATTAACAATTAGTGATGTGTTTTTAATAGTGTTTTATGAAAAATGTCATTAATTATCATAGGACCTATTGGACAATAAGTTCACTTATTAAGACTTATACGCAGGTTTCTCAATCAATATTTGATTCTGATGTTAATCAATTTTAACCTATGTCTTATTTATTCTTTTTACAGGCACTTGAGCGGCTCTCTTTTGGAGGAAGTCGCATCCGTGATACAGTGATGGCTCAAAGTAGAATACTGTTGTTTTGGTACTACACCACTTATCTTCTCCTCGAGAAAAATAAGCCTAAATACCAGCAGCTTGAGCCGCTGCCTCTTGATCAAATCAAACCACGGCTTCAGCTTGAGCTTCTTGATAGTGATTCTGTGAAACCAACCCAGCAGCCTGAACTGCCGCTTCCCATGCAAGACCAAGGTAAATCTAGTGTGCGGTTTGAATCTCCCGCCCTTGACCAACTTAAACCATTTATCCTAGAAGGTTTGTAATTATACTTAGGCATTGATGTTGATGATATAAAGATTGTGCCACTTTTTATTGATTTATCTCATACAGGTGCTTAATCTGGAGGAGATGCCTATGCAATAAAGGGAGCCCCCTTGCTATTCTGAGTCAAATGAGCTATTTTAGAAAAACATGGTGTAGTAATATTGATGGTTATTGTATGTATCTATATAACTCATTAGCTTAGAAATCCTTTCTGATGGGCTCTACTTATTATGGATGATTTGCTAAGGCTAAGGCATAAATATAATAAATTGAGGACGAGTTTCAACATCATTGTGCTTTTTTATGGTAATTGTTTTCCAAAAAAAAAAAAAAAGAAAAAAAAGAACCTGCAATAGAAAAGAATTATTGTCTGATGTTTTTATTTATTTATTTATTATTTATTATTGTTTTTATTAAATATATTTTTTACATTGCAAGTGAAATGAAGAGTTTTTTTTCTCGCAATGCATTGAAGTGCAAGCATAAAAGTTTATCTTTTGTTGTTTTTGGTGTTCTATTTGCTGGTAAATGGGTTTACCATGGATGTTTTTTGGTTAGGGGTTGCTAGACAGTAAATTTTATGGTGATCATTGTTTAAACAAATATGTCAAAATGTAACATTTTGATATTATAATATAATATACTAAAATAGAATATTGATAGGCTTAAAATAACACAATTTGTTTGAAACGGTTTTAGAGCATCTCCAACGGCTTACCAAACATTTCATCAAATCTGAATAAAAATATGACCAATTCTTCTATTTGATATGAGACACTCCAATGGAGCTTTCATCAAATTGCATGACGTCCGGGGGTTGACCGCCAATAAGAAAATTAATTTTTTTTTTGTCTTCATTTCTGTTTCCTCAATTCAAACAAGAATTCTTTAGAATATTCACAGTAAGAAATCTTTAAAATACATATATATACAAATTATATATCTTTACATAATTTAATTATTAGTCTAGAAGATTGAAAGATTGAGGAATCGAAAAAGATTGAACAATTGTTAGTCAAAAATATGTATATATACATATGCAGTTGGGCCAGTTCATACAGAGCTTTGCTCCTTTCTAGGTCTCACGTTCAAAACTTTTTAGGTGCTATCAACTCTTGTGTTGGGCCAGTCCATACAGAGTTTTGCTCTGGCTTTAAATGGGCTCCTCACTAGTGGACGGTGAGATTGGTCCTCCAAGAATTAGTTGAGGTGCGCGCAAGTTGGTCCGGACACCCTGAGTTATCAAAAAAAAATACACATATGCAGTTAACAAGAACACACAATTGGAAGATTGAGTGGTTTGGTTAACAAGAACACAAAATTGGAAGATTGACTAGTTTGGTAGTTAGAGAGAGATTTGTAAAATGTGGGATGTATAAAGATTGTTGTTAAATTTCAAATCAACATATCACAATGATTGAGTGGTTTGGTTAACAAGAACACAAAATTGGAAGATTGACTGGTTTGGTAGTTAGAGAGAGATTTGTAAAATGTGGGATGTATAAAGATTGTTGTTAAATTTCAAATCAACATATCACCATCAAACTAATTCTAGTTAGAACTGAAAACAACAAGAAGAACATAAAAATACAGATATGGAAATATAGACTTCATCTTCTATTTGAGACTGAGCTCTTGGGTGCTCAACCTATACTCATGGAATTGGAAATGGAATTGGAGGTATAGAGTGGATCAAAGATGAGAATTGAGAAAGAGAACATGATGGTAATGGATTCAGGGGAAAATGGAAATGGAGTCAAAAAAAATGCTGAGGTGGTCGACCTGTCAATGTAAATTTTCACAAATTTTTGCCTTAAAGCGGTCATCCGGGGGACATCCGGCCAGTCATCTGGTGAGTCTAACTTAATAGCTATGCACAGTAAATTGCTAAAAGAGGCCAACCATTCTCAATTTAGTGAAACGTTTGACATTTTCTCAATTTGATACCGTTTTAGTGCAACCGCTAGAGCACAAAAATTACTTTTTTGTTACTAAATTTAAATTTGATGCTGAATTTAGTAAACGGTTAAAGATCATCTTACATGCTACATATAATTGTCTCGTAGATAAGAATTTTTAGATGTTCATGGAACCTTACCTGGTATTAATTTTCATTTTTTGCCGAATCATCAATTATAACCCTAAGCACATGAATTTTTTATTTTTTATAAAAATTAATAATTATATTCAAGTTGAATATCATCATGTGGAGAAGTTATTGGTCATAGTAGGTGGTGCTATAAGGGTGTTGGAATTGGTAGAAGAAGTGAGATTTATGATTTTGTGTTAAATAATTAGAAAATAATAAGGGTATGATGCATTGTGATTGGTACGGAGTGTCGTGACATGATGTCCCAAAGCACCAACTAATTTTTCTACAGTAAATGACCAAATTACCCTTTATATATATGTGTGACACATAGTGGACACGTTCTCTTTTCTTTCTCTCCTCTTTCCTCTCTTTCTTCCTTTGTGTTCTATTAGGATTTCAATGGACATCTTCTCCGGCGGACGGCGGAGAAGAACAACAGCCATGGCAATCCCTAGCTTGCCGCTCCCAATCCTCCTCCGATCCTTCTCATCCTCCTCTGCCGCTGTGGCCACCACTTCTTTCACAACAACAAAAAAGGCCCTTGGTGACAGACTGATTTTGTCTTCAAACATCAAATTTTCGTTACTAAAGTGATCTGCGACGAAAAAAATTTGTTACCACGTTTATGGCCTATACGTTGTCGCTGAAAGTACCTGGTGACGAAAAACAGTTTCGTCGCCTATTTTTCATTTTGGGCGACGAAATGTTTTGTCTCTAAATGTTGAATTTTTCGTCCTCTAAAACATCAATTTCGTCACCAAAACTAAATAATATTTTATTTTAATTGTTTTTGGTGACGAAATATTTCGTTACCAAATAGATTTTAGTGACGAAAGTTTTCCTCACCAATGATATGGATTAAGGTGACAAAAAAATTCGTTACTAAAATGAGCAGAAAAGAAAATTATTCAATGACAAAAAATATTTTGTCACAAAATATTTCAATTTAGCGACGAAATATTCAACAAATGTGACAAAATTATTCGTCATGTTTTTTGAAAACTAATAGTGACATTTTTAATTTCGTCGCTAATAAAAATTAAATATTTTTAAAAGGGGGGTACTATTTTCATATTAAATTTTTTATTTTCAGTAAAAATTCCCTGCGCATTTCAATAACCTGTTTGATGGCCTATTCAATAATCTGTTCAATAAAATATCTATTATAAATCAATACAAAATCTGTGTATTTTCATAAACATTACAATCGAATTTCAGTACTATCTACAAAAATACAATATGAACTGCATGCGGATTATAAACATGTCTTTTAATATCCACAAAAAACATGTCTACTAATATCCACAAAAAACATGTCTACTAATATCAACAAAAATAAAATGTCAAGTGCGGATTACCAAACATATCCTGTAATACCAACAAAAATATAAAATTTACAACGCAACTAAAATACATGTAAGGTAATATGAACAAAAATACAAAATGAGCTAGCTTCTGCTCTCCAAATTACCAAACATGTCCATATCAAATCTCCAATCTGCAAAAAAATGAAACACAAAAAAAAGAAAAAAAAGAAGAAGAATGTAAGTTAGACAATTATTATCTTATCAATTAAATATATAATTTAACATGCATTTTTTGACTTTTAGTTTTCAAATCGGGAGTCCGATGCTAGTTCCGTAAGTTTCCATAACTTACATTGGTCACTTCCGAGGTGTTTGAGGTGTTCCGCGAGCGTTCCCGTGCCTGTTACACGATTTTGGCCCCCGATGACCTATTTACAAGCTTAACTGTTGGAAAAATTCATTTTTGGACTTAGTTTTCAAAACGGGAGTCCCGTGCTAGTTCCGTAAGTTTACACAAGCTACAACAGTTGCTTCTGAGGTGATTGAGGTGTTCCTTGGGCCTTGTCGGGGTTGTTTAACGATTTTGGCCCCCCGATGACCTATTTTCAAGCTTAAGAGTTGGAAAAAATACATTTTTACACTTAGTTTTCAAATCGGGAGTTCCGTGCTAATTTTTTAAGTTTTCACAACTCACATTAGTCCCTCCCGAGGTGATTGAGACGTTCCCCGGGCCTTGTCGGGGTTGTTTAACGATTTTGGCCCCCTTATGGCCTATTTTCAAGCTTAAGAGCTGAAAAAAATACATTTTTAGACTTAGTTTTTAAACCGGGAGTCCCGTGCTAATTCCATAAGTTTCCACAACTCACATTGATCCCTCTCGAGATGTTTGAGGTGTTTCTTAGGCCGTCTCGTGGCTGTTGCATGATTTTGACCCCCGAAGGCCTATTTTCAAGCTTAAGTGTGAAAAAATACATTTTTGGAGTTAGTTTTCAAACCGGAAGTCCCGTGTTAGTTCTGTAAGTTTCCACAACTTATGTTGGTCCCGCCCGACGTGTTTGAGGTGTTTCCCAGGCCGTCTCGTAGCTTTTGCACGATTTTGGCCTCCGATGGCTTTTTTTCAAGTTTAAGTGTGAAAAAGTGTATTTTTGGACTTAGTTTTCAAACCGGGAGTCCCGTGCTAATTCCGTAAGTTTCCACAACTCACATTGGTCCCTCCCGAGGTGTTTGAGGTGTTTCCCTGGCCGTCTCGTGGCTGTTGCACGATTTTGGCCCCCGAAGGCCTATTTTCAAGCTTAAGTATGAAAAAATGCATTTTTGGATTTAGTTTTCAAACCGGGAGTCCCGTGTTAGTTCTGTAAGTTTTCACAACTTATGTTAGTCCCGCTCGACATATTTGAGGTGTTTCTCAGGCCGTCTCGTGACTGTTGCACGATTTTGACCTCCAATAGTCTCAACTTAATGGACTATGTCCAATATATTTAGGTTTAATCTCCCGAGGAGTATAGTTTTGATTTTAGATTCAGTATAACATACATACAAATTTAAGAAAGATCCATGCTTAGAATAGAAATACTTATATGAGTGAGGAGTAATTTAAAATCCATGCCAGAAAAAAGTCTAGTTGCACATCTCCCATTTCCACTTTTTTCACATCCTTGGATCTTCCAATCTAATTTTAATACCCAATCCTCCAATATAATAATACATTGTTTACCTGTGTATTGCAAAAATATATTATATGGAATTCAAAAGATGCATTTCCTTAAAATGCAACTATATGAATTGCTAAAGTTATAGTAAACACTCAAAAGAATTTATTGGGAGAATATCAAAAAAGTGAAGAGAAAGAAAAATAATTTCAAAGTGATGGAAATACAAGTGATTCATGGATT